AAAACCTCATTAACTGAACAACAAAAAGCAAATATTCCAATTTAAAAATATACAGAGGACCTGAATAGACACTTCTCCAAATTCTGCTCTGACCCCGCCCCCCTTGCCAGTTGGCTGATTATATACACATGAGGGAGAAGATAGCTATGTGCAGCTGTGAACTGCAGGTAACATGGAAAGGGGAAGATAAAGTCTGCAGTCCGGCCTCCAGGAGCTCAAGTCTAATAACAAGTTGGCTAATCTTCTATGATGTTACAAACAGCTCAGCCCATTCCTGGAACCGGAGAATGGTCAGTGTTCCTGAGAAAAACTCCCGAGGGAGTCATGGTCTGGGCACAGCAACCAAATCAAGGCATGTTTTGTCCTTGATCTGTTCTCAAAATGTATTTCTTTTCTGAGTAATGGACCCATCAAGGCATCTTATCTTTTTACAGCCTTGTTTCATCCTCCAGTTTCCCAGGTTCTGTAATAAAACTTATCTATAATTATTAAGGTGAATAATTATTAGACAACTGTGGCTCTATTCTTATTACACGCCTTTCCCTATTATCAAAACCACATTAAAGGAAACCAATTGCCTCCACTGTCTTCAGCAGCAGAAAGAACAGAAACATGGTTGTTTTCTGCCTCACTCTCACTTCACCTCTTGTAAAGTAAACCCATCTCCAGTCCCCATCCCAAGCTTGGAATTTGCATTTCTGGTCTTAGCAACTTACTTTTGGACATGAAGCCTAACAGTCTGTGTGTTGCTTCTCCTCCCTTTTTCCTCTGTCATTTGGATCCTCTATTCATCCATGGATATAGTTATCTCACTTTTAGGTGGGGATATATCTGTGTTACTTCTTTATAAAATATAACTCCCCTATCATTGCTGTGGACTTTGGGGAGATAGAGTATTTTTTTCCCCATGAAAGATTACCATGCTAATATGCATTGACTTCTTCTTTACTCATGTAACATATCTGAAATTGGGATTTGTATTATGATTGATGACATTTTAGAGAAAATGTGGTATAGACTTATACAATTTAATATTTGCTTTATACTATTACATGAAAAATTATTGGCCAGATTTGTAGTATTCTATCTATCTATAATCTCTTTTGTCTGTTTCAAAGGCAGGAAAATCAGAATTATTTAACAAAGCATTAATCTGATGATACAAAGGTCGGATGGGTAGATGAGTTTCAAGAACAAAAATATGTGGCTATCATCATTTCAACTACATGCAACCCTAGTTTCAGTGGGGATAAGCACAGGGTTTTGAAGTCATTTGAATTTTATTGATTGTGTTGTCATTAATTTCAAATATATAAAAGAGAGTAAATGTAAAATAATAGAAAAAATATATATTGAATTCTGCTCCCAGTTCCTGGCACAAAGCTCCTAAAACCTTTGTAATGTCCTAAGTGATAACACTAAAAGCATCTTTTGTTGTAATAGTTGGTCTTTGGCACCAGTTTTTTTGTTTGTTTGTTTGTAATCCTCATCCAAGGAGGATATTTTCCACTGATTTTTAGAGTGGAAGAAAGAGGGAAAGACAGAAATATTGATGTGAGAGAAACACATCGATTGGTTGCCTCCTGTACACACCCTGACCAGGGCGTGAGCTGGGGAGGAGCCTGCAACCAAGGTATGAGCCCTTGACCAGAATTGAATCCAGGACTCTTCGGTCCACAGGTTACGCTCTATCCACTGAGCCAAACCACCTAGGGTGGGACCAGTTTTTGAAACAGAGTTCCTAAATCCCTTGGAATTTCCTGGGTAATAAGAGTGTCTTTTGTTCTATTGAGGTGATTCTAGCTGTGCTTCTGAGTAGCTTCACACTACCTGAAGAGATAACTCCCTCAGACATGAGATCTTGTGCTACCAAATCTGAGTTCTTCTGAGGTGTCTGCAGCCCTTGTGTTGGGAGTCAGTTCCTTCTTGCCACTCCAAGTCTTGCTTAGACAAATCGAGCCTGAGAAGGTGCATGGGAAATCTTTCTTGGTGTTTCCTAGCTCTTCCTTTCTACTTCATCACTAAATCCTAGCCCTAGAGCAGAACTGCTTCCCAAAGGTAGCCTGGCCTCCTTTCCTCCCTCCCTTCGCTGGTTTGTCCAGAAAAGCTGAGATTATATGGAACTCACCATGCTCCACTCAACCATGGCCACTGCCCTCTCCCTCAAACGTTCATGCTTGCTGGTCTGTGGGAATTTCCCTGACTCCTTGACCCTTCTTCCATAGCTGTGTCCCTTGCCTAAATCCACAGAGTAGTAAAGAACAGGCAACAGAGAGAAAGCAAAGACAAGAATAAAAATGGAAGGGCTTAGCAGCAACTGTGTACAGCTGTCCAGCCAGGAACAGGACTTTTTAAGAGAATACCCTCCTTTAAATTAAAAACTCTCCCCACCCTCAGCCATTCTTAGTTATTGTGTCCATTCCTCTTGGAACAGAGGAACACAATTACCATCATGGGCTCATGTCCCTGGGCACCTTTCCTGTGCTGTGGGAAAGGAATAGGTAGTGTCAGGGAGCAGAGCTGACCTGTGGTAAGGGGAGTAAGTCAGTGAAAAGGGACCTGAACAGGATTTGGGTTAGAAGCCATGTCATTTGCTTGGGGGCAGAATGTAAAGACATGGGTCCTGCATGAAATGGCCTGGTGTCAATGGCATGCTCTTGTGCCTCAACCACAGCAAGCAGCAGATTTCTGCTTGCTGAGCCCATGACTTCCTACCACAGGCCTTACAAATGCAGACCTGAGTGGGAAAGGACTGCTGTCCTCTGCTATCCCAGCTCCGTTCTCATGCTCTTTGTCCAGCTGATCTTTTCCCTGATGTTGTTCACTTTCTGAAGACAGGAGCTCAGAGACTGGGATGTAAACTCACACCTGGCTCAGGTCAAGCTTTTGTCTCCTGTTGGATCTGAAGTTGGAATACTCTGCCACTTCAGTTCCCTGAAAAACTAACTGGCCTGCTTCTCCAGTCCCCGAGTTTTCATATGCTGTCTTCCATGTCTTTAGAAAGGCAGTGGAGTTCACATCTCTTAGCCATATATTGTGGAGGTAATGGGCAAGTAAAAAGCAGTGACAGCTCTCCCCTTTATTCCATTCTGCCACTTTTCTTAGTGCTCGTGTCTTCTTTTTTATGGTGAGTGTTGATACAAATGGTCAGGATGCATGGGAAATGGGGCCCTACAAGGCTGTGTCAGAGGGATGACAGAATAGGTACTGATGTGCCAGCGAAGAACTCCCAACTTCTAGCGTTCCACACCATGAGAACAAGACTGTCCTTTTATCCTGTAGCCATTGTAGTCAAAGAGCAATGCAGTTTGAACTTGGAATCAAGAATCCTCACTTCCCTTCCTGTTTCTGCCCATTCATATCTAAAGGCCTTCCTGACACTTACCTTAAATAACTGATTTCTATAACAGGACCCATATTCCCTGTTGTTTTTTACCTCTCCTGGGAATGCTAGATGAGAATCTGCAAAATGAGTTTTCAAGCTAACAGGTGTTGTATCAGGGATTGGCAGTTATGTGAAAATGGAGTGCCCTTTTGCTCACCTGTTAGGAACTTTGCTGAATCTCTCGAGTAGATAGTAACTGCTGGCTCCATTGATGCAGTACTTCCTTCCATTTTTGAGTCACTGTTCTAAATGTTATACGAAGTGATAATGATAGCAGCTATCCAGGGTGCTACTAAACATGGATTCATGCAGAGAGTACACTCTGCAAGAAGTTTAATGTCCCCTTAGTTCCAAGGACACAATCTCATTAAATTCTGGAAAGGATGGGGGGGCGGGGCAGTCAGCCTCCAAGTTTTAGAAATATAGTGGGATCTTTTCCTTCCAGGCAACTTCTTCCTCTGGGCTTAGCACTTTCATTCTTTTTAGTTACCATTGTACACTCACCTTTTCCTTCTTTCATTAGTTTGAGGATGCACCTAACGGTGTAAATACTATCCACAAAAATTCCAATCCAGCCATCACCTCCCCCTTCCTTTTCCAGGCATCTAGTATATTTTGGTTCTGTCCCTCATTTAAAGTGTAAATAGCTGAATAGGGACATTAGCTAATTGTTTAAAAGCCTAGAGAGAAGCACCTCAGAAAATGTTATACCAGAAGGCTATCATTCAGACCATCACGAACAGGCTTAAACATCCCATTAATTAGGGATGCTTAAAATCTGAACTAAAGTTGATTTAAAAAAAAATAACTGCCCTGACTGGTTTGGCTCAGTGGATAGAGCGTCTGCCTGCGGGCTGGGGGGTCCCGGGTTTGGTTCCGATCACAGGCATGTGCCTTGGTTGTGGGCACATCCCCAGTGGGGGGTGTGCAGGAAGCAGCTGATTAGATGTTTCTAACTCTCCCTCTCCCTTCCTTTCTGTAAAAAATCAATAAAATATATTAAAAAAAATAACTAGTGTCCTGGCTGGGTGGCTCAGTTGGTTAGAGCACTGTTTCATATACCAAAAGGTTGCATGTTCTATTCCTAGTCAGGGCACATATTTAGACTTTGGGCTTGATCCCCGCATGGATGTTTCTTTCTCTTTCTCTCATTCCCTTCCTCTCTATAAAAAAAAAAAAATCAATTAAAAAACCATATACTCAGGTGAGGAATAAAACAACTGAAACTGATACAAAATAATGTAGAATGTAAACTGTAACTGAAAAAAATCAAATAAAATTTTTAAAAATTAAAAAACAACTAGGTGAAAGATGAATGCTCCAAATATTTATGGAACAGTTATGTGGCCCATCAGTGTTAGGCATGTTCACATGTCTCATTTAATCCCCACAGCAGCCCTGAGAAGAAGGGATTATCTCCATTTTACAAAACTGAAAATAAGCTTAAAGAAGTTTTTTGATGGAAAAAAAAATCTGGTGAAAAGATATTTACATCAAATATCAAATATCTTGATGAAAAAAATATATATGTATTTCAAAAAAGTGAACATTGGCCATCTCTACATAATTTGGTAACAATGTTTTGTTTAATTCAAATTTAATATGAAACAACATGCCACTTTCATAAAAAGGTACAATTTTATGAATCAATACATAGAAGCCTTGGTCAACATCTTAAACAAGGACTGGACGAAGATATAAATCCATGTCTTCCAACTTCCCTTGACATCACATTACTTTTCAGAAGATAATCACTGAGGCCATTGGGAAGGAAGAGAAACCGCCAATGTCAAAAACCAGTTTCCATCTGACCAAGCTCTCACTGAGGCCATCATTCTAAGCCACAGGCCTTACTTTGCTCTGACACTTCTGGATGTTTCCTCCTGATATGTGCATTGAGGTTAGGTCACAGGGCTCTCCTTGCATTTCACAGTTTACAAAATCTCAAGATTTTCATCAGAGCACCCAAGTGTATGGGGTTGTGTTGAACAGCTATAATAATGGGCCTCCCTTTAGGCCCTGGAGCAGTGTGGCACCAATTTGAAAGCCTCCAGTCCACAAAGTTAAAGTAAATAAAGACCATTAACCACTGCTTTGTGCTTTCGAAGATAACTGAATGAAGGCCCAGACTGCCTCCTTCACCATTACACTATATACCTCAGTGTTGAAAGGATCAGCAGGAGGAGATATATCAAGTGCTTACAAGGTCCCAAGTTCTGTGTTGATATCAGGCCTTCACATATGACTTGACATTCCTTGACAGAAAACATTGCAGTAGTGTTCATGGGAGAAGCAACTAGAATGGGTGTACTTCTCCCAGGGCAAACAGTGAATCCTCTCTTACTGTTCCAGAATAAAGTTCCCTGAGCCATGGGCTTGGTTGTTCATCCACAAAGAATAATAGCCCTAGGAAGTCTAACGTAGTAATACTCTCTGAGCTCCCTTCAGAGAACCTGAATATTCTTACTTTCCACCTCTCCTGAGAATGATACATTAGCTGAGGACCTGATACCTACCTGAAGAATTTAAATCACATAGGGTTGGGAAGGTGATAGATAGATAGATAGATAGATAGATAGATAGATAGATAACTAGAGACATATGATTGCTATATTTTCATTCTTTTATTTAAAAAGTACCCATTATGTTATCAGTCTTGTGCTAGGCACTAAAGACACAATGCTGAATAAGAGAGACAACTTAGATTCCTTTATGTGAAGCATGACATGTACCCCTCCCAAATTTTCTGTTAATGATAGAATCCTAGGTGCCTCATGACTTTGTAATCTTTTATTGCCTCTAGAGTCAAGCTCCATATGGTGACTTTCTTCAGACTGGAGATTCTGGACATGATTCCCTTCTCCCATGGAGCTTTTGGTGTCTAAGAAGGCTTGACCGCCTGCTGAAGTTTCTCCTACATATGCTACAGGAATAAGGCTGCTCACCTGTGTGGGTTCTTTGGTGTTTAATAAGGTGTGAGTTCTGAATGAATCTCTTTCCACATTCATGACATTTAAAGGGCTTCTCTCCTGTGTGAATTCTTAGGTGTGTGTGTAGATTTGTGTTATGGCTAAAGCTTTTCCCACACCATGAGCATCTATATGGTTTTATTCCTTGGTGTGCCATTAAGTGCTTATTTAAATCTGAACTCCATCTAAACCTCTTATCACACTGTTGACATTTATAGGGTTTCTCTTCAGTGTGAATTCTCTGATGCTTAATTAGGTCAGAGCTGACTCTGAAGCCTTTCCCACATTCCTGACATTTAAAAGGTTTCTCTCCTGCATGGCCTTTCCCGTGAAGATCCATATGTTTTGGAAGCTCTTGTTTACAAGTTGAAAGTTTCTTTCTCTTCTTCACCAGAAAAGCTCGAGGCCGTTTCCGTACCTTATGTGTACCACCATGATTTTCTTTGTCTGTTGTTTTCTGGGCAACTTTCATTCTGGCCTTTCTTAATACTTTGCATCCTGATGTTTGTATTTCTAATGTAGAAGTAGATATAGGTGGGTCATTTCCAGTGTCATCTTTGAGCTTTAACCCTGTTGGAATAAACAGAAGAATCAGCCATCTGTGTCCCAGAACAACAAAACCAGGAATGGAGCTTAAATAAAATCAACGATTTAAAAAAAATACAGGAACAAGTGGTTTTTAGTCCAATCCAGACAATACTGCATAGACCTATTTCTCCCTGATCCTCCCTGCTAGGCCCAACAACAAACCAATTAAAGAATCTAAGACACAACCAACAGAGAATTTTAATAACATTTAAAAAAGATTTTAAAAAATTGATTTTGAGAGACAAGAAGGGAGAAGGAGAGAGAAACATCGATGTGAGAGCTGAACATCAACTGGCTGCCGCCTGCATGCCCCCTACTTGGATTGAGCGTGTAACCAGGGCATGTGCCCTGACCAGGAATCAAACTGGCAACATTTAGTGCATGGGATGACACCCAAACAACTGAGCCATGCCAGCCAGGGACCAACAGAGAATTTTAAAAAGTGGTAAAAAGAAGGGAAAATACTTTGGGACCCCAGGACTAGGAGAAAAACATAGCAAGGTTTCTTACATGCCCACACCCAACAGAAGAAGGAAACCCAGATCTAATGTTTTTTAACTCTCAACCTACAAACAGAAGGCTTCCTGAACAGGCTTCTTCCTTCCCCAGTCTTAATGGAAAACCTTCTGACAACATAAGAATCCATTACAAAACATCAAATGGGCAGGCAGAACTAGCAAGATGCCTAGGCACAAGTGGCCTGGCCCAGGAAGCTTATTCATCCCTGTGGATCTGAGACTCCCAATTCCCAATGAGAGATACTCTGGCCTAGGTAAATACCTTCCTTACCCTCAGGGAGCACCAGGAGGGACACATGGGAGCCCTATCAGTGCCACATAAACCAAGGAAATGACAAACAGTCCCTGAAAATTAAAATCGTCACTGGAGCATATTCCATAAAAGTAGGAAAGAACCTATGTGATAAACTAAAACATGGTGACTGCCATTAAATTATTTAAATAGGACCCAGACTCACCTAACATAATAGATAAAATGAGGACACAATAAAAATCACCCATCAGACTGAGAACAAAAAAATTCATAACTTAAGAAAAGGCAATCTGATAAAAACAAAATCTAAGACCACAAATCTAAAAAATAAATGAAATGAAACAATACTCCTAAATAGTCCATAGTATAAAGAGAAAGTCTCAAAAGAAATGTAAAAATACATATTTGAGCCCTGGCCAGTATGGTTTAGTGGTTGGAGCATTGGTCCACACACTGAAGGATCTCAGGTTCGATTCCTGGTCAAGGGTATGTACCTGGGTTGCAGGTTCTATCCCTGGCCTCGTGCAGAAGGCAGCCAATCTATGTCTCTCTCTCACATCAATGTTCTCTTTCTTTTTCTCTCTCTCTTTCTCCCTCTCCCTCTCTCTCTGCCCCCCCCCCCCATTCCACTCTCTCTAGAAAATCAATAGAAAAAATATACTTGGGTGAGGAATAAAAAAAATACATAGTTGAATGAAAATGAAATTACAACTTATCAAAATATGTGGAATGAAGCTAAAGAAGTGCTTGGAGGAAAATGTACAGCCGAAATGCTTACAATAGAAAAGGGAAAAGGTCTCAAATCAATAATCTAATTTTCTTCCCCAAGAAACTAGAAAAAAAATCAAAATAAACCCAAATCAAGTTGAAGAAAGCAAATAATAAATATCAGAGCAGAAATCACAATAAAACAAAGTTCTTTCATCATTAAAATGCCCATACTACTCAAAGCAATCTATAGATTTAATGCAATCCCCATTAAGATACCAATGGAATATTTCACAGACCAAGAACAAACACTCCAAACATTCATCTGGAATAAAAAAAAGACCCCGAATAGCTGCAGCAATCTTGAAAAAGAATAACAAAATTGGAGGGATCACAATACCAGAAAGCAAGCTATATTACAAAGCCACTGTCTTCAAAATTGCCTGGTACTGGCATAAGAACAGACATATAGACCAATGGAACAGAACAGAACTCAGAAATTGACCCAGGCCAATATGCTCAATTAATATTTGACAAAGGAGGCAAGAGTATACAATGGAGTCAAGATAGTCTCAAATAAATGGTGTTGGGAAAATTGGACAGATAAATGCAAAAAAAATGAAACTAGACCACCGACTTACACCATACACAAAAATAAACTCAATATGGATAAAGGACTTAAACATAAGATGGGAAACCATAAAAATCTTAGAAGAAGCAATATCTATACTGATACAACGCCTAAGGCAGTGGTCGGCAAACTGCGGCTCGTGAGCCACATGCGGCTCTTTGGCCCATTGAGTGTGGCTCTTCCACAAAATACCACATGCGGGCGCGCACGTACAGTGCAATTGAAACTTCATGGCCCATGCACAGAAGTCGGTTTTTGGCCTGGGTGCGTCTATTTTGAAGAAGTGGTGTTAGAAGAAGTGGGGGGTGTCGGTTGGTCGGGCGACAGGAGACCTGGCGCAGGCGGGCCACAGGATACGCAGCGCGGGGGAGGTGAACGCAATTCATGCATGAGTTGAGTGAGCCAGTCAGTTAGCAGCCTCATTGTGCAGTGGTTAGTGCTGGTCGCGTCCGCAAATCGCGTGCGGGTGACAAAAGTATCTACTCGAAGCATAAAGTTACCTGTATTTTTCCAACCAGCTGCAAATCCTACAGGTATTTTTGTCATCAATTTAAGAATTGTAATTCTTTTGTGTTGGTGGCTTTATTATTATTTTAGCAAAGGCCAGCTTAGGAGTACCCTAATTAAGTTAATAACAATGTACCTACCTATATAGTTTAAGTTTAAAAAATTTGGCTCTCAAAAGAAATTTCAATCGTTGTACTGTTGATATTTGGCTCTGCTGACTAATGAGTTTGCCGACCACTCGCCTAAGGCAATGGAAACTAAACTAAGGAGAAAATAGACAAATGGGACTACATCAAAATAAAAAGCTTCTGCACAGCAAAAGAAACCATCAACAAAACAACAAGAAAGCCCACTGCATGGGAGAACCTATTTGCCAATGATATCTCCAATAAGGGTTTAATCTCTAAAATTTACAGGGAACTCATACAACTTAACAAAAGTAAGGTAAACAATCCAATCAAAACATGAGCACAGGAACTCAATACACACTTTTTTTTTAAAAATATATATATTTTATTGATTTTTTACAGAGAAGAAGGGAGAGGGATAGAGAGTTAGAAACATCGATGAGAGAGAAACATCAATCAGCTGCCTCCTGCACGCCCCCCACGGGGGATGTGCCCGCAACCAAGGTACATGCCCTTGACCAGAATCGAACCTGGGACCCTTCAATCCGCAGGCCGACGTTCTATCCACTGAGCCAAACCGGCAATACACACTTTCTGAAAGAGGACCTACAGAAGGGCAAGAGACATATGAAAACACTACTGGCCTGGTGCAAGAATTTGTGCACATTGAAAGGAAATTAATTAGAAGAAATATTTTAATATTGCTATTTGCTCATTCTCTATAATAGAAGTGTCAACCAAATTCACAATCATCAATGACAGATCAAAATAAAATACATATAATAAATTTTAAAAAATAAAAATAAGGCCAGTATTACCCTGATAGAAAAATCATACAAGAACAGTACACTAAAAAAAGACTATAGACTAACTAAATCTCCCATGAACTTAAATGCAATATTTGGTGAGGACCAAAATATTGGTAGACTGAATATAACAATATTTAAGCATTATATACCATAATCAAGCCAGATTTACTGCAGCTATGCTAAGCTGGTTCAATATATGAAATTGATCAATACAACTCACCAAATCAATGAGCTTTGAAAGATCATAACCCTATCAACTTACACAGAAAAGTATTTGATAAATTCCACATCCATTCTATATAATAAAGAGGTAATATGCAAATTCACACCCCCACACAAGATGGCCACACCATGTGGGCACAAGATGGCCACCACAAGATGGCTGGCAGGGGAGGACAGTTGGAGGCAACCAGGCCTGCAGGGGGGGGGGGGACCAGGCCTGCAGGGGAGGGCAATTAGGGGCAACCAGGCCGGCACGGGAGGGCAGTTGGGGGCGACTGGGCTGGCAGGGGAGGGTAGTTGGGGGGACCAGACCAGCAAGGGAGGGCATTTGGGGGCATCCAGGACGGCAGGGGAGGGCAGTTAGGGGTGACCAGGCCAGCAGGGGAGGGAAGTTGGGGGCAACCAGACCAGCAAGGGAGGGCATTTGGGGGGGACCAGGTCTGTAGGGGAGGGCAGTTGGGGGCGATCAGGTCAGCAGAGGAGCAGTTAGGCATCGATCAGGCTGGCAGGCAGAAGCACTTAGGGGCAGTCAGGCAGGTGAGCGGTTGGGAGCCAGCAGTCCCGGACTGTGAGAGGGATGTCTGACTGCCGGCAGTTGGACATCCCCTGAGAGGTCCCAGAGTGGAGGGGGTGCAGGCTGGGCTGAGGGATACCACCCCAGTGCATGAATTTCATGCACCGGGCCTCTAGTTTATTATAAAATAGTAAGAAACATAGAAGTTATACTGGTATAGACTTGATAAAGACTATCACCAAATATCCCTATACTAACACATTGTTTGTGGGTAGTTTTTATCTCGTGCTAACAGGTGGCGCGGGCCATTTTTGCTAATTTTTTGCACAAATGGCAACGTTCAGTAAAATTACAATAACTTTATTTTACGTATGTATACGTTACCCGCATTCTACCGCTAGTCTATAAAAAACATATTAATACGTGTTCCGCACTCTACTACCAGTCAACCTAAAACGTATAAGTAAAACGTATAAATACGTTTCCCGCATACAATGTGCTAACTTCAAAGATAATGGTGAAAGACAATGTTTTCATGGAGATTAGAAACAAGGCAAGGATGTGTACTCTTATCACTCTTATTCAGCATAGTATTGGAAGTTGGGACTACTACAATAAGAATAAAAGGTGACTTCTGGGCAAGATGGCCTTTAGGTAAATGCAGTACTTGCCTCATCACACAAACACATAAA